ACCCCACGGTTTTCTTATTGCAACTTGATACACGAGACTTTCTGCTGTTAGCTCCATCCGGCTTACCTGTGGGATTCATCTTAATTCTATGAGGACTAGTTTTATGGTGAGATATTGATCTGTTGTTGAATGGCCGTCACTTTATAAGCAATGCAAAGAATTAACGTAAAAGATTCATGTGCTCTCTTACATTTTTTTTAGTTTCTGCTAAGGTTTTTCATCTTTTATGAGATAGATCAATATGATTATTACTGGACGACTTGTGATCAAGAATGTTTGTAATCCTGAATTCTGATGAAACCATTATGTCGTCATATGATATTATGCACTCTCCTATTCTCTAACTGTGTTTAGTATCCAACAAGTCTATGCTATTTTATACTATTGATCAGCTTCATCCAAAGATCTGGCAGTTAAGGATTAATCGGCCAAGTCCCAGTGGTAGTCGATCCCAATGGCCAATGGGTTAGACGGTTTGGCACGACCCATATATTCTATCAAAACATCTTTTATTTATCCCATTGACAGACCATCCAGATCCAAATCCACCAGCCGATTTGCCAGTCGTAGAGAACTTTAAATCAACATATATTTTAGAGTTTCCAGTTTTCCATTGGCTGAGATTTCATATTTAATGATCGAGACAAACGCATCTACATTATGTATCGATTTGTTATTATAGAGAAGAGTTGCTAAGATTGTTGTGGAACTGAAGTTTATGAAGTCACGAGATCGAATTGCTCGCCTTTGAACTAGTACTTTAGTGACATGCACTAAATGTTCCCTATTTATCAAATGGTTATTTGTTTAGTTTAGGTTCGCCAGCAAGATCGGTCAGATGGTCTCTGGTAATGTAGCATTAAGGTATTTAAGTGGAAGAATTATTTGGTCTAAAGGCCTACTATAAATGATTGTATATTTGTTGCTTGAATGTGTGGAATTTAATTATGCTATACACTTTTATCTTCAACCGCAGTAAGGTAGGCAGCCCCTGGGTTCAGGGGGCTCCCGCCCCATGCGAAATCTTTTAAATGATATAGGGGTACTTCGGGAAAGTAGTACTTGTTTTAGACTGTTCTAATATAGCGATACCACGGGGGTCGGGCTGCTTGTCGGCTTGAGTCACTTGACACTCGTGAGAGCTCCATTTAAGTGCTTGTTTGGTAGGGATTTTTGGGGGAAGAATTGATTTTTGAATAGTGATATAATGGAAAATATATGGTTGAAATAGGAAAAAAAATATTGATGTGATGGAAAATATTATTTTATTAAGAATGTGTGGTTGAAAATGAGAATTGATTTACTGTAAAATTTGAGAATAAAAAAACAAACACCCCCTAAATGAGCATAGGGTTGGGCCGAACTTGATTTTCAGCTTGGCGAATCGAGTTGTATGAGCTTTTTATTTCATATTTAATTTTGAGAAAATTACCTAAAACATTTCTTTTCATGATTACAATTCAAAAATAAGGGGGATAAAGTTTACAACTCAAAAATCATGTGGTAAATAGAAAATCAATTTAATTAAACCTTAATCTGCCTAATAACCCCCACCCAGATTAATCCCAAACCCAGCCCCAACTCTTTCTCCCTCTACCCAGTCTCTCTCTCTCTACCTACTCTTCCTTCCTTCTCTCTCTAGTCTCTACCACCACTCTGTACATCCCCATCTAACTACCTAGGGCGGAGCACAACCATCTGAGAAAATAGATGCCTGCAGCAGTTTGAACACTGGGTCTTGATTCGGTTGATTGGAAAGAGCAGTTAATAGGGAGCTCTGGCCTCTTGACCGGAGGGTGGAGACAATGGTCTCGAAAAGCTTGCCTCCGACGTTGAGCTTGATGCGGTCGCTGCCACTGGGTTGGGTGACGAAAGTATTGTTGGGAATTTCGCCCTCCATGTACAATTGTTACATGGAGCTTATTGCTTGGGACCAGTTCGGGATTTGTGAATTGAATATGGAAAAAGTCGTCGCTACAAATGACAGTTTGAGGATTTTTACACAATGCAATTCAGAGTTAAATTCGTCGCTACCCATAGTTGAGCAATCGTTGGAGTTAATTTTGAACATTTGATCCAAGGAAGCCACATAGTTCTAACATGAAGACTGAAACAAACTTTTCTACAATTCTGTTGGTGGCAATGATTTTTTGATTTGTGGGTGGTTTTTTATATGTGGTTTGTTGGTGATTCTATTAGTGGTATTTGTGGGTGGTTTTTGATCTTTTTGAAGTTTGTTATTTTTTGTGGTGTTGGCGGTGATGGTGGTAGTGGTGGTGCAGGTGGCGCTCGTGCTTTCAGGGCCAATTGAGGTGGCACTAGGCTAGTTATCCATCTAGGCTTCACTTGAAGGTAGAACTGTGGCGATGGGGGTTGTGTTTGTGTTTGGCTGGTTGTGTGTTTGATTTTGGGTTTGATCTATAAGTGGAATGGTGAGAGTGTTAGTAGTGGAGGAGGGGCTAGCGGCTTGCCCAATTGTTTGAATTTCAGTAGTAGTTAGAGTTGTGGGGATTGTGTTGGTGGTAAGGTTAGTTGCATTCTCAGTCTTTTGATTGTGATCGATTGTGACCAATTTTGTGTTGATTGTGTCCGATTGTGACTTGAGATTGACCTAGTAACAGACAGTCACACTCAATACAAATTTGGTTACAGTTAGTCACATTAAATACACATTTGGTCACAATTAGTCACATACAATCATACTGAATACAAATTTTTTTTTCCGGTAATTTTTTAGGTGGTGGAGGCAGGAATGGGTGGTGGTAGGTGGATCCATGGGGGTGGGGGTCTGATTTTCAATTTTAATTTTCTGGAAATCTTTGAGTCATCGGAGAGGCCGCCGGAGCAGTTACCGGAGTGATCGCCGGTGTCATGGCCGAAGTTGATGGCCGTCTCCGGTAGAGAGGCGGAGGGAATGTAGTGTAGTAGGGTGATAGGATGTGGTAGGTGAGGTGGCATTGATAAAAATAATTAATGTGTAATATATTATATTTTAATATTTAATAAATTTATTTACCACCTGATTTTTGAAATATTTTAATGAATTTGTTATTTATGAAATATAATATTTAAAAATAAGAGTTCTGTATTGTTCCCTTTAATTTTTCATGTCTAATTTATATAAATTCAATTCTTATTTAATTTTTTATTTATAAATTTGATTTTCTAAAAAAAAAAAAAAATACTAGGTTCATTTTCCATCTTGGCTCGGCCCTATACTAATAGGGCCAAGCCAGGTACAGCTTGATCTCTTGTTCAACACTCAACAAGTTGGGTCAAGCTCAGCTTGTTGACCAATGGATTGAACTGACTCGTCGAACAAGTCGAATCGACTTTGGGTGGCCAACCAACTATGCCCCTTGTCGTTCCTTATTTAAAAGTCCGTTTGATAGGTAAAAGTGGGAATGAATTCTAATTTCATACTAGTGGAAAATAAAAACTCCCCGAATTCATAGGAATTCGTTTTCCATGAAAACAAAGAAAATGCAACTTAAAGTACTACTTTAGAATTTGGTTTCCATTTTCACGTTATAATTAAATGACTAAAGTAGAATTCGTTTTCCTCAAACGTGACATTTTCCATAAAAAATGTGACAATCAAACAAGCCTAATATTTCTTCATACATAAAGGATATTAAAACAAGTAGTCCAAAAATATAGGTAATTAACACAAAATATCTCTGTCGTTTGTTTTCATTGTACAAATCATCTATATCTTTTCACTTTTAACATTTGGAACCTTATTGACCATTCTCTATAAAGTTCACCCTCACAATCTCATATCTTCCATTTGCTCAGTCAAATGATCATGTGCAATTCACTCTTGTGAATTGTCCAAGGGTAATTTAGTCAAAGGACTAATTTACCAACTTTTCTTGGAAAATTGAGGTTCGATATTCTTTTGGGTGACCTCTCGAATTTGTCTCGAAGTGTTTGCTATGAAAATCTCGAATTTATTTGGCAAACCTCAAGTTTATTGGACAAATCTCGAGTTTGGGATGCAAAAGTTGAGTATATTGGGCAAATATTGAGGTTGTATGTAAATCTTGAGTTTGCTCAGCTGGCTTATTTCACACATGTATATCTTTTTATCGACAACTTCTAATTGCACTCTATTTTTTATTCTAGTTTTTTTGTAGTTTAGAGTTCAATGTAAAAAAATGGAGATTTTTAAAACAAACTCGAGATGTGAAATGCTAATTCACTATGACAAATTTGAGATGTCACCTAGAACTCGAGATTTATGTTGAGTTGCAAATCTTAAATTTTATTGTATCATGTTAGACGTCGAATTTTCAGGAAAAGATGATTAATTAGTGTCTTGACTAAAAAGCAAATTACACGTACACGACCGTTTGTCATGGCAAATGGATGGAATGAGATGGTATGCTGATTTGCAAAAAGAATGATCGATCTCAGGACCCAAATGTCAAAAGTTAAATGATAAGAATTATTTGCGCAATAAAAACAAACAAGAATGTTTTGTACCAATTACCCCCCGAAAACACATTGTAATTATCTCTTCCGTATAGGGAAATCTTGCAACCACGTGAAGTGAAAACATTAATGAATCACCCCAAATTTGGTGTTATTTGTTTCATATTATTAGTGTGATATGGGATCAGCGATTAGTCATGACAAGTGAACGCCATTCAATTCGGCTAATGACGACCACATAAACATAGATTACTTTCATTTTATTTTTACATAATGAAAATCGACCATAATTTTAATTTACAACCAGCAAATCAACAACCATATGGTACAAGATTGAAACACATTTTATCAAGTAAAACGAAGTGCACCTATTAGCAATATCACAACAAATTAAAATAAGTATCATATTTATTGCTTTTTTTCCCTTGAATTATATCTTGAGAAAGTTAGACCTAAATAAATTACAAATCCTTGTACAAATGAATCCAAGTGCTGCAATTTCTACATATTTATCCGCAACAAAATAGTCTCATTGTGAGCGATGTTCAAGATGTGTTATCCTATCATCCTGGAGAGACCTGTTCTCCAGATCTGCATCCATGAATCCAAATTATTGAGAAAAGCCAAAAAGCGAGAAAAATGAAATGTTCCAAGGAGAGTGAAAGAGAGACGCACTTGTAGAACTCGATAGAAATCAAACTTTCTGTCTCTATTGCTGGCTCGGGAGCCCCCAGCGATGTCTCTGTTAAACTCCTTTTGGAACTAAGTCCTGCAAAACAAGGAATCAACACCTTAAGCTAGGGGAATTTCATTGCTTGAATCATCTGAAAGACCAAGTAATATAGCACCATTTATATTCTATCAGGAACACAGAAGCACATATTTAATACGAGGCCGAGGACTAATGAAATATTAAAAATCTTAGAACAAATATCTACGTTTGCTTATAAATACAAAAGCTGATTCACATACTCATGGAATAAAATTACAAGATAAGATTAAGAACACATGAAGATCTTTGCGAAATGACATGCAGCAAGTTATGTAAAATTCCAAGTGAAGTATACTCTTCAAGATGTGCGGTATGAAATTATAGATCATGCCACGTCTAACAACATATACTTTTCATCAAGTAACCATGTTTAACAGACATAGGACACGTTTGTCCGACAAGATAAATGTCGAATACGTCGATACGCGATTTTTCAAAAGAGTAATGATACGACACATAACTGACATATTGATTAAATTCTTTGAAATTCTTCATTTATATAGTATAAATTTAGTTTTATATTTATTATTAATTTTTATTATTGAAATCTTTTAAATATGACTGTCTATTCGTCATTTACTAATACGTTTAAGTTAAAAATATATAATATTTTTAATTAAAAAAAAGAACAATGATTATGGTAGAGTGTCCAAGAAGTATCGATATTGACACGTGCTCAATACGGATACCTTACCCTAGTTGAAGTGTTCATGCAACAGAGCTCCTCAGTCTTTAACAGCACTGTCAAAGTAGTATTTCAAAGGCAATTTGCAGGAAAAGAATCATGAGAAGCTTATATATTTATTAAAGATGGACTAGTACCAGGCAAACTTAGGGAAGGTGAAAACTCTATTTGTTGCAACACCAAATATCTAAAGATGTATCATTTTTTTTTTACATGACGACGACCCCATAACAAACTAAGCTGCAAAAATAATTTTTCGTCCACCGATCACTGTGGTCCAATGAAATCAAATTACTTTGCATACCTACATCCCCTAACATGTTCAACTGTGATCACGTCGTTCATGTGAACGGAGGAAGCTTCTTTAGTCTACACAAGACATGCCTCGATCCCCTAAGTTATGCATAACTTATATGGTATTGGAGTATATTTAACATTTGATTGTTACAACACAACCACACACACCCATCTTAAAATCTTTACTTCTACTATGTTAAACTTATTGACAATTTGTGTTCAATGACCCACTCAAAATATCCATTTTCTCCAACCTACTCTCCTTTATGTGTTGACCGTTGCATCCTCTTCGTTCTCCATTTTATAACGAAGCCAAATTAGTCCACCTCTTAAATTTAAGCATTAGTGTGAACTAGTACTTCAATCAGAGAACCTCACATCCAAATCAAATAATTCAACAACTTTTGATTGAACCACGCTCCCAAAATTGTAAAAACAAGTAAAAAATATAAAGCATTTATACACTAGTCATTACTTGAAAGAAATCATAATTAGAAATTAAAGACTCGACTTTCTTAAAGGCCTCAATAGATCTATAACCCATAACTTGCAGAAGCTATCACTATTTCAGTGGGAGGATAACAAATAAAAAAGCGAAAGAATTTGAAGAGCTCCTGATAAAACCAGTCTGAAAGTAGGTTATTCTAGAAAAGACTTGATGAAACTCAACATATCTGATTAACTGCACTGGTGGAGGATGTTTTCAGGCATCAATGGCATAGTTAGAATGTAGCAACATAGGCACAATAAATGCCATGAAAAATAGCTAGAAGAAAGACCTTGATGATAATACCTTGAAAGATTATCACTAGGAAAAAGAGGATTGTGACGATCATAGCAGATATGGTGGTGGTGGATGATGGTGATGATTTTTTGGCTGCTTTCATCTTCTTTAACGCTTTCATCTGTTCAATTCTCTCACGCTTCTTAGTGGCATGCTCAGAAATCTCTCTAACGAACTTCATATCAGCAGCATCCAAGGATGGACCTTTAGGAGGTCTTGGAGGCTTGGCAGCCACCTCCTTAGACTTTCCAGTTTTCCGTCTCTCTTTCTCATGCTTCTTCTCCATAAGAGGCAAAAGCTCGTGACTCTGTCGATCATCAGGGCCCTTGTCTATCAACAATTCTACAGCTTCATGAAAATCCTTAACCAACCCTCCAGGATTGCTGCTAGCCTCATCCTTAGTTGATCCGTTTAAGCCCAAAACTCCACTAGTAAGCTTGTTCAACAATTTCTTCCTTCGTTTTCTTCCCGAATTGGGACCAGTTCTCGTATCAGCTCCACCACTTGCACCACCACAGTCGATATCAACAACTACTTCTTTTTCTTTTGAATTATTATATTCCATTTCCCATGAAATATCTTGCTCAAATTTTTGAACTTCCCCCCAATTTCAGGTACTCGCAGTATCAACTTCGTCAACAGAGATACGATACGTAACTCAAACTCTCGGCCTGCATTGTCATCAATAAGATATTCAACATTTCAATTGTTTCGATTTTGATTTCACTCAGAAGAATTTCATTCACCAGAAATGACAATGTATTCAACAACCAACCTAAAATTAACAATCCTGTAATTGAATTAAAGAAAAATCCAAAACAATTAGAATTAATTAATTTTGAAGAAAAATGTATCCCCAAGTCAGTTATTCAAACAAAAAAAAACTTGAATGCCTTATTCGAACAATAATGCAGCTCAAAATACGAAAATCCCACAAATGCAAATGTCTCAAAAGATCAAAAGAAAATAAACCCACAAAAATAACAACAACAACAACAACAAAAATCAAAAAAGATAATAAAAAAGGTGCAAGTCAGGAAAAAAAATGAAGGAGCAATTGGGCGTACCATTGCGAAAAAGACTTGAAGAATCCCTAAATTTGATGACAGAGAGATCATCGCCGAGAAGAGATGGTAAAAAGGCCTTTCTTTTTTTCCTTTTTCTTTTTTCTTTTTAGTAATTTACTGAAGGAAAAAAGGCTTATCCAGCCAACCTAATTCTCGACGTTGTTTTTCCCTCTGCTCACATAGAAATAAAATATTGAAAGTTGCATTAAGACGTAAGAAAAGAGGCAAAGAAACAGGTATTTGTCGGGTAGTCTGAGAATTGCCGGACAAGTCCGGTTTGTACTATGTGTTTCTCATGTCTAAATTTCATCTGCGGTCACTAAACTTTCTATAAAATCTCAATTAAGTAATTTTAAATTTGTCCCAATTGGGTAGTTGAAGTTCAATATCATTCAATTCGATCATTGAAATTCAACTTGATTTCAAAATTATTTTCTCTTAAATGAAAATACTTAATTGACAATCATTCACAAAAAAAAATCACATAATAATTATTTGGCATGTTAACTTAACAATATGTGTCATAAAAGTGTTAAAATGTGCATCTTAACATTTTAATTCGAAGACATTAACGTAGCTCTCACTCTACCATGTGTGGCGTAGTAATTACTTTGAAAATCAAATTAGGCATGATTGTCAACTAAGTAATTATTGTTATTTTGGAGAACAATGTGTGACGAATCGTGACAAAGTGATGCAATTTGAGATTGAATTGAAATTCAATGATCTATATGAAAAATATTAAAGTTGAGTGATCACTTACGATTTTTATGGAAGTTTAGTGATCCAATTGATATTTTCTGAAAGCTAAGTGACCAATAATGAAATTGCCCACATTGACTGAAATTGTACCTTAGGTTCCATGATTCTTCCACGCGTCACCTTCATGATTTCCTTGTTGTCTTCTTTCCAGATGTGTATATATTAGCATTTGGAATACTAAGGGCATATCTCATGTTAATTGGGTTTTTTTTTATATATATATAAAACATTTTTTTTTAAAAAAATAAAATTAATGTTCATGTGTAGTTACAGAGCTTTAAATATTGATAGATTGAGCTTGTTTGGCAGATTTTTTCTAAGTAAAAAATAAATTATTTTTTTTAAGGAATGTGAGGTTAAAAAGTGAAGGGGTCGTTCTCTTCGTGTTTCAGTTTTGTATTTTTTGTTTTGAGTGTCTGTTTTGAAATTACTGAAAATTCATTCTCTTTATTATTCTAAAAAATTGTTTCTCAAAATAGAAAACTTGAAAACGCGTTTATTTTGAAATTTTGAGAATCTTTCTTATAATATTTTATTCAATAAATCTAAGTATTCAATAAATTTTAATAGTTTAATGTTAATCTATTGAAGAAAAAAATTAATGATGTAACATTGTTAAAATTTTCTCGTCTAATTCAAATGCTTTGTCTTATTTCTATGTCAAGAACAAAAAAATAAATGCATATATTATTTTCATCACATTCTTCATACAAAGATAAAAAAAATTATGAACTATTTGATTTCAGACAAGGAAACCATTTTTCACTCTTATATGCAACTTAAACTAAGAAAATGGTAACATAACACACATAACAGAGTATTTTACAAATAAGTAATGATCATTACAATTAATTCAACGAATTAACAAAATTTGTAAAACATTTTTACATGAATAAACAAAAAAATTGCCACCAAGAAGATGATTATCAGGCATCAAGAACCCAAAGGTTTGATTACAAAAATGAGATTGAGGAAGAAGATGGATTACAAAACAAAAAAATTGCCAAATGTTCTAGTTAAAAGAAGAATAAATATGCAGCATTTGATTACTTGTACAAGTAAATCAACGTTAGATATCTACTTTGACCAATTGAACATCAACAGCCTGGCCCACAGCTATTATTCCAACTATTGAATCCTTACATGAATATTTTCGTTCTCGTGATGGGCATAACGAGTCCAACACTCAACCTTCATCACTTTCCCCCGAATGAGAACTCTCATGGCAGTCGAGATCATTGTGCTCACTGCCAGCTTTTTCCCTCTCATTCTTCATCACTTTCCCCCGAATGAGAACTCTCCTTCTCTATTGTCTTGTTACATCTCTCAAAATTCTTCACTTCTTCATCTTGAGATTGAACTTTCAGCACATCACAATAAGCGTTTCTCTAAAACCAATTTCAGCACATTTACAGTTTCTTAGCAGCACATTTTGCACGTCTAAAACCATGGTTTTGATTTTTGTGTGTATGAACATATATGTATACTCCAGTTCAATGAATATCTCAGTAATAAGTAATTGGCAGTTAGAATTTAGCATTCAATTGGGTAAGCTACCAAAACATGGATTTACCTCAAGCTGAACAAGTTGTAATAAAACTGTTCATTTTCTCCTTCATCATGTCTATGCAACAGCAGCCCATATTTACTGCAATCGCCAATTGTAACCTCATTTCTTTAACCAATTTACCCAGTCAGCACATCTAAAGTTGCTGCCCAAACTCAGGAATTGCAAAAACGACATGTTTAATAGTAACAACTCAGCAACATGCAACTAGAAGCAAAATTTAACCAGTTCACAGCATTAAAAGCAAAATAAATGTAAATGGAGATTGTTCAAATCATTAGAAGAATGTCATTACAAAAGTGTTGATACACAAGCAGTCCAAATCAAACACAGAGAACTGTAGAATGTTCTTCATCAATCAAAACATCACAAAATAAACAGAGGGCCTCAAATGACAAATTGAAACCAAATTTGGGTAATTGTTTTTTTCTAGTTAAAAATTTCAAAAGATTGTTAAACCCAACCTCACCACCATTGCAATCAACCAATCACCATCGCCAGTCACCACTGCCAACACAACCACCACTGCAATTTCCAATCAACACAACCGAAATCAATGGGTCGAATATACAAATCGCTTATATCATCTCAAAGCTCGTTTCGAGGACTACATTAAAGGCATATCGAATAGTTCAAATGGATATCGAAAATAATTAAAAATGCGTCAAACATACGTCTTAAAAAGAGGCGTCTAACTCGAATTTTTTTTAAAAATTAATTATTTCATTAACATTTATTATTTTTGTGATACAAATTTCTCAATCTAATTTACATTATTTTATTAGGAAACTTATATAGGATATGATATCAAAAAAATTCGAAATTTTACATTCAAAAAATTCATATTTTATATAAATTTTCGGATGCAAAATTACATGAGATATGATTTCTTTAGATGTAAATTTTTATTTGTAAAATTTCTCCTAACTTTTTTGCAAGTTGGATTGTGCCCCCCTAACTTTAATTGTCTGCGTCTGCTCCTGATTATCACTAGAGTTAGTATTGACCTTCTTTTATTTTTCAATGATCTTGCACTAGAAAACCTTCAAATAAACTCCTCCAAATTATATATAACCATTGTTCACAAAAGACTACCGATAGAATTCTCCTAGAAATATAGTATCCCTTCCTACTAGGATAGGTTCAAGGGTGGCAATAGCCTCGGGCCACCCGCCACTCAACGGAGAGCTCAACCCATGAGCAGCTCGACCCATTCTTTCACAAATTCATGGATCGAGCTGAGACCAACAAGTAAGCCTGAAGACTTTGCGCGACGATTCATAAGACGAGGCCATAAGCCTTTATATTTTATTTAAAATTTTAATGTTTCTATATTTTTCTTTATTTCTATCTTTGAAAAATAGGAAACTTCATCGCGAGCTCATCAAGGGAAGGGCTCATGGGTCGAGCACTGAGTCAAGTCGATTCGAGCTAGAGTGATTGATCTATTGGATAGTTAGACTATCGTCATCCTTAGACAAGCTTGAAAATCCGAACTAGCTAGACCATACTAAATTATATGACAGTCTAATTAGTGAAGATTCATTGATTTAGCAAAATGTACAACTTAATATTAGGGCAGTGTTATCAAGCATGAGCCCATGTCCACTTTCCATATTTTGAGTATGTTTGGGATGGTTGCTGCACAATTTAAAAGCACTTCTTAGAAGGTAAAAGTTGTCCTGGTTAAAACAATGAATGTTTGATTAATATTAAAAGTGATTTATGACCAAGAAAATCGCCATCAAACAAACCGAATCGAAACCCTGGTCTTGAAACTATTGATTTGGGTCTATGTGGACCTATCAATGTTTCAATTCAAAATCAAATTAAAACATTTAGAAACGATCCGATTCAGGTTTTCATAATTAAAATTGCATGAAACTAAACTGAGCCTTTCACCCTTTTTTTTTAAAGTACTTGTTACAGATAGAATATATTATTTATAAGTCAATTTGTACTTCAAAAAGCTTACATGTTGACACGTCGAATTTGTGTTCGACTTTAAGTACCGCAAGTGTACAGATCGTTCAAGTAATAAAAATGGGTTTTGAAGTCCAAGTATCGTTCCCACAGAGATTGAGTTAGTTCAAGCGTTACCTATCTCGACCTTAACCGAAACTTAAGTGAATTCAAAGAGATTATCAAATTATGAAATTATCTAAATTA